GGCATAAAAATTCAGCAAATATTCTCGGACCACAATTATTTTTACCTTTAGAAGGCGTTCATCACTAGGTTTTGAGTTGTCAATGAGTTGACACAAAGTTCTCGGCACAGCACACTTTATAATATGAAGACCTAAAAAATCCGCTAGATAACGTATTTCGAAGTGTCGAATGAACTTCAGGGAGTTTTTTTTCCACCTCATTCATTTTAGCGAGTGCATTTCAGTCAAGTGCAATTCATTCACGCAGAATATGCCAACTCCATATGCCACACTACCTAACAGAAAGCTAAGCCCTTTTTCTCTATTCGGATATCTCATTAGTTCGATTTTCCCGCTTTTTTCTGTTGGTCACTGATGAATGTTCGGGTTCTTTTTCCATTGGAACATGCTTACACCATAGAATAAGGAGCTATTCAGCGTAATTTTGCAAAATATCAAACTGAAAAATAACCGTGCACAAGTAATACCTTAGTGATCTTATCAGATTCATGTTATCGTGTATAGAATGAACCAATACAAAGAACATCGGCATCACGACCACTGCCAAAACAACAAAATGGAATGATCTTTCAAGTTTTCAGTGTTCGAAATCATCTTGTTCTTTCTGCTTCTGTTCTGCAAACACGAGGTGTTATTTTATTTCTTTGTTTACGCACAAGCTGACGTTTCGGCGGATTTCGCCTTCCTCAGGGCCTGGAAGGGTCAAGTTGACAGCAATCCACTCGGCCAAACACCTCCATAACCAAACAGAGAAAACGCTAAACCAAGATCTTGTTCTCATCTTGTATTCTCTTTAAGATCTCATCTTGTTCTTTCTCGTCGGCTTTAGGTTACTGTGGACCGCATTTTAAGTCATTCGCTTAGCGTCTAAAAAGCGACGTAGGTGTTCTCTCTTAAAATATGTCGTCGTTTAACTCAGTTGACATGCCCAGTTCATTACATCAACACATGTTATTGCTGTTGACCGTCAAAGTGCTTGTGTATGATTTTGCCCTAAAGTTGAACATTTCATGCTACTCGGTCCGTTTCACGTTAACTTTAACCAAGCGTGTTTGAATTTTTCCCGTTTTATACGATTATTCGTTTCTATAGCGTCCGGCGGCAATCAAATATGTGCTGAGCATAAGCGAAATTAACTTTGCAGGTGTTAAACACTCGAAAAACCAAACAAGTGAAATAATTTAGAAGAAACACCGAAACTCCATCTTGGTACGGTACATTATAAAATGAGCCTTTTAACCGTATTAGTGGACTCCATAAAAAACATTCCGATTTGTAGCCTTCCCATGTTAAGGCTCCTACCGCTGATAACCTATCTGGCCTATGTAATGATTTACGGTGCACACCGATACATCAAATCAGTACTGCTATCCTCACAGGCAAATCTGGCACCAATTTCCAGAGCCGGCGGGTTGAAAGACATGGTAAGCCTGGGACGAGGGGTCGAACCACAGGTCACATGTGCACTGAAGCGCACCTCTAACCACTGCACAACACACCCACCTGAACTTCCTAAAATAGTGCGAGTCAATGATCCACGTTTTTAAAATAGACTAACCCAGTTTTTTTTTTGCAACCTCTGCTGTTAAATCAAATCTCACGTGTATTCACGCATAGAAAAAGTATTATTTATGTCGAAATTAAATGACATCCAGTTTTCAAGAACATTGGTTCGTTATTCACCGGCTGATATGACACCGACTTCTAAATGAGGTGCCGTCGTGATAGCAAACCAGTATCAGTGGACAGTCAATCAACAACAGTCTCCAATAAAAGATCATCGTCGAGTGCAGTTATTCCTTCGAGTTTCCACACCACTCATTCCACTGTATTTGACTCGATGGGACTACGAACACTAATTTCTCGAGAGACAACTGTTGCGGACAGTAGACTGGAATTACAGCCAAACGTTAGCAACAATAAAGACTTTGTATCAGTTTCCTACCAGTTCGCGAATGGAACGAAATATTGGTAGCCTAATTTATGTCTTAAGCGGGTTTGTTACCAAAGACCTCATTCTCTCTCTTTAATTTGAAGGCTCTTTAATTAGGACAACGTTCTAGCACGATCGCTTTCGTAAGAGTCAGAACAGTTCTACATAGATGTTCGCAACAGCTGTTCCCGGAAATGTGTGTTTTCAAATTTAGTAGAATTAAACATTACACGACCAGTTTTCTGCAAGGTGAAGAAGCCTTGACGAAGCACCATTCATCGTGGAATGGAACAAGAGCGTAAAGCATCTTCTTGAAAAACATGGCGGTTGCGGTGAACGTTAGCAAAGGAAACGTCGGGAATGCAAATTGTTCTTTTTTATTGTCAAGCATTCAAGAAATGCCTCAGCTTTCTATAGTATCATAATCGTCGTCTTTCTGAAACGCAGGATTTCTAGAAGTCGACTCACCAGTAAAGTGTTTTGGAACAAGTCAGTATTCTTTAAAAACGAAAAGGCTGAAAATTTTTTGAGCGGACGTCGACCTTTACCTTCTAAAAAGCTGTTTTTCTTCTTTAATTAAAGTGGCAGAAAATAAAACGACACAGCCAAAAGCAAAAAAATCACTATAAATGAAATCAACCATGAGGGGTAGTTAATAATTCCGTAATTTTTCCTAATTCTTTGGTTCATGGTTTCCTAGTCTTGACATTGTACAACACCGGTGTTCTAAGCACTGAAGACGGAACGATCTATTCAGGGTCAGCTCCTTTTCATCGGTAGTTGAGATAAGGGGTCCCACCTTAAACGTGAGGTGAGCGTTCGTGTTTCTACAATCATTGAGGTTAAGCGTGCAGTTCTTGACCACTATAGGAAAGAAGGCAGGCTTTAGTGATTCTTGCTGTAGTTGCTCGATAAGTAAATACAAACGGATTTTCAGGTGTCAGATGACAGGTGAACTACTCATTCCGTTTTAGTTACTTTATGAAGTAGATATGATAATTGAGATGAGACGTATAGTTAGTTAATAGAGTGGGACCTCTACCTCGTCTCGTGTCGTTCAATCTCGCGTCTACACTCACACGTTCCGTCACAATCACTCACTTTCAGTCGCCCGCCCCTCTTGCATTGCGAATCTCAAGCTTCCATTATAGATCACTTTTTCGTGTATACGCTATGTATGCCTAGGGCAAAATCCGAGTTTATTTATCCACAGTGGTTTGGCACAGTTATGTGTTCTTAACCATAACCTTTCAAGAAACTCAGTCGCTTCTGTAAATTTCCTTCATTTATCACGTTTCACTAGTTTTCCAGAATTTGACTGCAGATAATTTCGGTTAACTGAAGTAGATATCATCACTAATGATGATTATTCATACGTTTTTCCATTTCGCAATTTTAGAAGAGGTTCAATCCGTGAACAATTCACAAAAGATACTCATCACTTAGCGACTATCGAGAAGTCTCTTCACTAAACAGATAAACAGCATATCGTTGTCATCAAAATAACTTCTGATGGAAATTGCGTGTAGACCTTACCCGCTTCTGAACGGATATTTTTAGAAGACTTCGTATCAACAAATATTTCGACGTAGTGCATATAGTACGTCCAACTTGTATCCTTATAATTATGGTCGTACAGACGCCTTTTCTTCTGGGATTAATTCTTTCATCGCGAAAATGAAATGCTTTTGTAGTTTCGTCTTGAGTACTAACTTGTTATAAAGTGATTATTTATTTAAAAAAATTTTTTAGTGATAATACGAAACAACAAAAAAAATTTCTGATAAGGTTCTCAAATTCTTGGACCTAGCATTGGACCATTTTCACAGCATGTTTTAGCCTCACAATGTGAAACGAGCTTTTTGGTGCTTGCTGTGAACCATTCGTGTTTTCTTTCTATTGTTTCTTCGACTGTTACAAATGGGAATGGTAAATTAGATTAAGAGAAAATGGCAAGCGCAGTGAGCCACACCATATCCATAAATCCGTAACGGCGTTTTTGAATAAATGAGGCCCATAGAAGAGATTTCCGTTGTTTTTTGCTACCTGACTTAGAATGATCTTAAAACTGAAACTAAGCGGCATCTTTTTACTTGTGTGTTGGCGGAGAAAAGTATAGCCGAAATTAGTCAAGTGAATTGTTTTCGGGTACCACAACTCGTATAAATCCTATTTTTTAAGAACCTGCCTCTGCTTAATTGAGGAGGAACGGAAAATCTTAGACTATCCATTAGAGCGATGAAAAACATGTCACGGAACTCTCATGTTAAGTGTTATAACCCAGAATGGCAAAATCCTCAGTAATTCATGGGGTAATCCATTTTTTCTTACACTACTCTGGCTGTTGGACATTTCGATGAAAGACCGTCCTAATAAATGGATCCTAAATTCAACATTAAAGACCTTTCAGCAACTCGATGGCGCCTTCCCTCAACGCCAAACAAATTAAGTCCGACTTGACGAGACACTTTTTTGTCGGACATCACTTGATTTCCATTTTTTCATCAAAGAAGGCCGTTTTTTTTTTTCGAAATGCTTGCTCATCTTTTCTATTCTTTCCCAGAGCCAATCAATAGTAAGCCGACTAAGCGGTTGTTTAAATAAAGCTAATTCTAAGAAAGTAGGAAAGCTCGGGAAAAACACAGTTCCGTGTTTATTTATGTCTCAGCTAGACAGCACATAAATTCACATGTGGTATGTTAGAAAAGTCGCTATGTCATTGAGCAAATACTAGTAGTACCGTGTTAAGTTGATTGAAATTTTATGAGCTACCACGTGAAGGAAATATTTAACTGACGGTAACAATACTGCAAGACAATTATGATTAATATTACTGTTCATTCTAAGCGATTTTCAATTGTAATCAATATGTCTAGAAAGCTGCCATTAACAAAAATGGCAGCTCATGGAATCCGACGCCATGACTTGGCCACCTTAGGGTCGCTTTGTTTTTCTGTTTATTTTCAATTTTTACAATGCTGTGCTTATCACCACCAATGGTGCGATCGATACCTAATGAGTCTAAAATAACACTGCTGATGATTTTCTGTTCTAGTTGCTTGTAGGTATGAGCGTGCTTCAACGTCGTGTTACCACTGGTTCACGTTTGGCTCGTTTTCCGTCACAGACTTCGTCGGATCAGCAACAACAGCAAGGTGGTATGAGTTGTCCGAGTTCACCGGCCGTCAAAAAGGTATGAATAATAAAGTTTATGCAGTTCCCAGGATCGACTTCGACCTTAACCTCAGCACTAAATTATAAATGTGTAGTTTTCTTTTTCATCAATCACCATGTTGTTACACAGTCTACTTCCGTTTTCTTCATCGTATGTGTTTTCTGTAGAGAAACTTACATATAAATTTCATCGTCACAATCTCGTCTCAATGGAAGCCTCATCTTCCTTAAGGCACCAGAAAAAATGTGTTTTGGAAGTATCTCACCTCAAAGGAACTGTATTACTGAGAGAAAACACCTTTGAATTTTTTGACCTTTTCTAACAATCTTCAAAGCTCCTTTGGATCCGATTTTTTTTCTAGGATTTCTACGTAAAGGTTTATACTTTCAGTAGAAGTGGGTTTCTCCAAAAGGTTTACCGCCTCATCGTGGCTACAAGGTGTTTCTGGGTGTCGGACCGCGTTGTGCAGCGAAGGGATTCGTCCTCCCGGCAGGATTTCCGAAGAGTCCGACGTTTCCATCAGGAAGCTTGCTAAGAGCAAACCAATACCAGGATCCACCACCATCCCGGTGTCAAGTTCGCACGGTGGCAAATCTTCTTCTGGTCCACAAGGGCTGCGGCTGCCTGTCGTGGCGACGGCCTGGTGCAGACTTTCTCCAGATTGTCCTCAGGATTCTAGGAAACCACAATGGATTAACCATCAAACCTCCGAAAAATGGTGATTATGCTGGGCCTCGCACAATTAGTGAGGACGGGCCGTTCGAGTATAAAGTAAATAAGTGGGACTCAATATTCAGGATTTCTATCTGGTAACATAAAAAGCCTTCCTTCAGAGATGTGATGATCCCATGTGTTCCAAGTTTAGATTTATATGGAGAAGAAGTTTCTAAAATCACCAACACTGTCAAAATTTCGTAGAATAAGGCCTTATTTTATCCGTCAACGACAATTGTCGATGTTGGCCAATGTCTGGATTTCACCTGCTTCATGCGTCAATGTTCTTTAATAAAATACCACGTGCAACATAAAATTAGCCGTTGTAAAATCTCTTTCACCTATAATAAAATATGGGTGCATGTACTTACCGCACCACCTTAGTGCTAGTGTTTAATTATGCATGTTTTCAGTTGAAGTTATGCATTTAACATTCATTACAGATAATTTTGAGCGAAACTGAGTGAATTGATCATTAAGTTTAAGTAATTTCCCCGCCATTCACCCATCAAAGTTGCAAACGCACTAATTGTTGACTTTAATCAGACGACGATTAGTCAGTCATATGTAGCAATGTGCTTTCCAAGCACTTCAGCAAAAGTGGAGAAAAAACGAAAACCTTGGTAAAACACTGGATTTTATAACGGAATACTTACCTACTTGATACTTGAACGGCCCGTCCTCACTAGTTGTGCGGGCTCCAGCATAATTACCATTCTTCGGAGACTTTCTGGTTAAGCCATTGTGGTTCTCTGAAACTCCGAGGATAGCCTGGCCAAGTCTTCCCCAGGTCGTCACCATGACGGGCACTCTCAGTCCATGTGGACCAGGGAGAGATTTGCCACCATCCGGCTTTGATACCAGGATGGTGGTGGATCCTGGTATTGGTTTACCCTTTGCTAAGCCTCTTGATGGAAACGCCGGACTCCTTCGCAGCTTGGGAGACCCTGCCGAGGGTAGAAATGCCCTCACTGTACATCGCAGTCCGACACCCAAAAACACCTCTCAGCCACAATGAGGCGGGAAACCGCTTGGAGGTATAACTAAATAATGTAGGTATAAATAAAACTATGCTTTCAGTGACTAAAATTATTGTAGCTTATAGACTCTATAAGGTATTTAAGCTGAAAAGCAGTATAAGATTTCGCTTTAGAAGCTAAGATTAGCTAAATAGTCCTATAATGAATAACTCTGCCGTTTTTGAAGAACCACACTGACAATAGGCGGCGGAGCATGCTCGACTCCATGATGTTCGGCTACTTGCCGTTGTTATGCCATCGGACCGCCCTAGAGCAACTTTGTTAGGGATCGTAGAAGAGCTTCTAAGTTGGAAAGCTGAATACTAATCTACTGGGAACGTACTAGCTCCAACATGAAGTTAAGCAAAAAAAATTCACCGAAAACTTATGAAAGCATTCTAAATTCAGAAGGAACCAATAAGGTTAAACAAAGTGCATTCATGATTGTTTATTACAGGTTGTCCTTGTTTAGAAAGCTTGATACAAACGTGCTGACTAGAAAGCCGTATAGCAAGGAGAACTCAAATGGCTGACCCAGAAATGGAGAGAAATGTGTGAACTCTCATCTCATACTTTAAAAAAAACTAAAATCATTCAGCATCCGTGGATGTGTTATTGATAAGCAAGCATTATTCATAATCTGAAGTCAAAAAACCAAAATGTCATCAAGCTTCTCTTCGGTATTAACTGATGGCTTTCTTGAATCCTTCTGCATTCTCATCGTAATAGACTACGAAAAAACTATAGTACCAATGTCTTGTTCACATAAACCGATGTCAATAGGTGTTTTGGAGGAACGAAAAAGACCTGAGAAGATAACAAACACCTGCGAGTGTACTCACATAAAAATGGAACTTGCCCTAACAAAAATCGCATATTAAATATTTTACAAAAACATAGTAAAGCTTGTAAAGAACGAAAGCCACAACGAACGGTGTCACCTCTCGTTTCCTTCCAATAGTAGTGTCTAGTCTTTTTTTCTATCTTTAACGCATGGGTGATTAACGTCGATAAGTGTCTAGCGATTTTTAACGACTATCGATCAGATTTTTCTCACAAACCAATAAGCTATGTGTCATCGTCATCTTTTGTTTTCAGCGTATATATATATATATATATATTTTTATTCTAATTCGTTTAGGTGTTGTATTTTGTTTCCCGCTAGCGAAATTTATATGCAAATCGAATCACCTCTAGGACGAATGCTCGCCCCTATAGCCCGACGATTGCTTAGCTGGAAGTGACGGTAACCTCCGTGTACTAGCAATCAGATGTGCTCAGATTTCACTGTCTGTACTACCGAAGGAAAAGACTAGCAGCGATTTCTGAAGTTCAATATTCGTCAACATCTTTTCGAATTGAATGAGAAATTTCCACCATCTTTGTATAGCGGGATGATAGTTCTGCAGTATTCACGAAATATCGATGGTGAGAGAACAAACCTTTTTGCATTGACTTCCTAAAACGTTCTCGTGTCCTAAGCTGCTTTTTTTTCTTCGTATAAAACTTAATGGGAAATTGGGCGATTGATAATTCCTTCTTCGTATTTTGCTGTGTGATTTATCTTCTTTCATCTTATTAACCGTGTGTATATATTGTCATACGCTTTACAGTTTATCGTTCCATCGCAAAACATAAAGAACTCATTTTTTGAGACAATGTGACAATGGGTGACATTTTGGTGGTTTTACTTTAACGGTGGAGCGAGTGTGGAGCAGTAGTCGGATGCGCCCTGCTACACACACGTGGAGTAGATCTCTGCGCTCATGGCCCACAGCGCGTTCTATCATTGTGGAGTCAGCAAACTTCTACCAGACTTGTCTGGGAGGATAGCAGCGCTGACTCAATACATCGGTAGGCAACCGCGAGTCATTGTAAAGGCCAGGTATCATTCAATCACCTCCAAAGGATGCTTAATGAAGTCGAATGCATGACACATCCCTCAAGGATTAATCAGCGCCGGGACCTTTGTCCTTTATCTTTTACGTTATCGTTTTCATAACAAGCTAAAAAATCAGTTTACAATAATTAGACAAACCTACTATTTTCAGTGTTTTTTTTTCCGAAATGCCTTTGTTGCTTTGCCCATTTTTTCTTCTTAAAGAACAAGCTTTTCTCTGCAGAACATCTTCAAATTCAGCGATACCAAAATAAAAACCGCTTATAAATCTTATTTCACAAAATTTTCATCGTCAAAAATTTGCCTTAATTGTAAAAATTCCTCGTTTGCCATTTACAGGTATCCTACCGCTCGTTTAGATTTTAATGCCGTTTTCTTGTGGAAATTTTTCTGGACCGCACTGCTCCAACCATAATGGGGAATCCACATGATCGTATCATCCTGCAGTGATTTTTTGCCACGCTCTAAATTTTTTATGCTTTTTTTGCTTTTTTTCTATCCACTACGTTTTCAATGCAACCACTCTTAAATCGCAAAAAAAAATGAGATTGATTGGCAAACAGCTCGTCGAACGGCACGAAGGAGCAACTGGGTAAATAGTGAATTTTAAAGCCAATGGAATGCTGATTTTTTTAAGTTATGAAATATCCTACCTAAGTCCGTAATTTAAAACATGATTTCGAGGTTCAAGCTTTTTCCTCAATCACGCGACCAAGGTGCTCTTTATAAGGAAATTGTTTCTCAAAGAAGCGCTTGTTTAGATATAAGACGTTGTGCTGGTTTAAGTAATCATAGAAATCAACATCTTGTGTATAAGTTCTAGAACCAACTTTCTATTAACTTTAGCATTGGTTAAAAAGATTAGCGCTTCCTTTTTAAGCAAACATGAAATTGTTAATAGGGCCTTTATTCAACACTGACTTAAGTTTCGGCGTTCTCGTCCACTTCAGAGCCAAATTGGCACGCAATCTGTTCAGTCAAGCACTTTCATTATCTTAGCAGAAAAGCGTACTACCGAAATTTCAATTGCACGCAAAGCAATGTCTTTTAATTAGCCACCGTTTCGTTCCTTACAAATATTCCAATTATTGGTGGAGACCAGCCGCACAGATTCGTACATGCGAGAAGAATCTTCTAGGACCAGATTAAAAAACCTTACTTGCAAGTTTTCAAAAAAGGAATTTAAGTTTCTGATTAATTAATCGTCTAAAATTTACAAAAAAAAATTAAGAGAATGGGAACGCGATTCATTATAGATGGAGATCCAGTTTTGTGCCAGTAATGCACTCAGTTGAACTGAGAAATGAATAATACATTCCGAACGAATGCTAAGGCAAACAACCACGCAGAATGTTAGAAAAGCAACGCAATTTTTCATCCAGGGGATCCAGTCGAATTTTTATTGATAGTTTATTTTAAAGAAAAACGTCATTGAAATTCTCAGCTCGTTAGCAAGCGAAAGAGCCAAATAGGGCAGTTAAGTGAAAAATCGCTTCTTTCACTTATATCGCATCCTGCGTCTCTGTGATGAATCAACAGTGAGGAAGTATTTACTATTTTAAGAGCTAAATGTTATTTTTCACTTTTCTATGCAATTGCACCCGTAAACATCCTAGGAAATGATGGATTGTGGCATACAACAACGCTGCCATTTCCTGGCGACCACCTCTCAAGTAACGAACGTAACACGGCTGTCAAAAATTTTGGATCGCAGAACTCGTAGGGAATAGTAGATCAACACCAAAACCCCAAAATGTTGGCAGGGTATTCGAAGTTCTTTATAGTCACATACGAACTGGCTTGGTGGCGTATAATACGTTAATAGTTTTAGCTTCAGATGAACAAAATCCTCAATCCAAATGGGCTCTATGCGTCTGTGATCTCATTTCTATAAGGATTATGAGAAAAGAACCAATCAGTACATGCAAAAGTGCTTAAAATGTGGATTTTTTCCTTTGTTTTCGATTTTTTTGTTGTGGCTGTGAAAATAGTTAGTGAATCGGCGCCATATTGTACCCTAACACTTTCGAAGTTCTGAAGCAGGTAGAATTTGCACAATTATTCAACCTAGTAAAAAGAGTGTTTAGCCACTAAACCTCTCGTCAGCTCAACAAAAACTTCTTATCTACTGCTGAAATAGGCTTGTCTCTTATCTAATATATAATAAGTTTCTTTCTGTAGAGTTTAAACCCTTTGAGAATATATTTTTTCGTTGACAGGCTCTAAAGTTCTCTTTCGAGAAGAGGACTTGAAAAAGTGGACGTTTTTCATATTACGAAGTTAAAACAAATGAAATACCTGTAGACAGGGCCCCCACTTTCAATCGAAACCTTAAAAAAAACCTTGAATTAAAATGGCACGGCATTAAAAGGCAAATAAAGTAATTGTATTTAGATATAATCGAATAACTTCAGTGCTTGAAATGCTCCATCATCCATTCAAATCGGATACTCGACTATTTTCCATCTCGGTACTATTAATGCTCTTTGAAATTCAGTAATGCGTTAGAATAAGCTTTCGAGTTCGATGTTATTCAGTATTCAACTTAAGATTTATTTGTATAAGTTACTGGAAGACGTAGGACATTGGGGGTTATTCAACCTAACGTTCGACATTACTTTTCAAATCTGGCGTTGTGCTTTTCATCGTTGCTGAAATCCTTCGCAGAATCCGTCATTACGGAAAGGACCACACATGTCCGGTCATGATCGTTGATTCGTTAAAATGAAGTGGAACTAATGAACGAATAAACTCTCACGGTTGCCCATCAGGGACATGAAGAGCATGACAATAGCCAATATTGGCGTCAAATTTAAAACCGAACAACGTCGTATTATGGACTCTGAAATCAAAAATGTGTTCGCTATCTGCAGACGTATAATTTACAAACGGATTTTCACGGACAATAGAACTTATTAAGATTCTTCGAAATTAACGAATTTTGATTTCGTCTAACTACATGGGCGATTAGCCAAATATTAATCAGCAATTCATTCATCAAAAGAAAAACGTTAAAAGTTCGCCACCAACATTTAAACTAGGAAATTCAAGGTTCGAGAAAATAGCACAAGCTACGGAAATCTTTCTATCAGATTCATTCATCTGTCTTCATGGCTGAATTTTTTAAAACACTCGGCAAATTGATTCCATTCTATGAAGACGAATCCAGGAATAGAAAGACGTATCTCCGAAAACAAAAAGCTAGCGGTAGTGCTCATTTGATTTATGAATGCAATTCTTTTGAAGACCGATATTTGTTAAGAAAAGACCCGAACAAAGAAGAAGAAGGAGAATTTTTTGTAGGCGTATCGTCTTGTGGTGTTGGGTTCAGCACGAACGGGCAAATCGTCATTGGTTGGACGATTTCTGGATAATGATTTCGAGGATCGGTACATCCCGACAATTGAAAATTTTTATAGGTATATAGTTTTTTTTGCATTATGTCATTTTTTGGACAGTTTAAAGAACTAAGATATTTATTTTTACAACTCATTACAATAGTATTCGCGACGTTTTTTGTTAATCATAGTGATTCTTATTCTTAGTAATGATTATAAAGTATTTCCACGAAATCATCTCGATCTTTCATCTTCATTTCCCAAATAAATAACTCTTCCTTCCTATTTCAGAAAATTGTACAAAATTAAAAGTGAGATCCATCAGTTAGATATCATTGACTGCTCAGGAAATGATCCATTTCCAGCCGCTCGAAGACTCAGTTACATTTCAGGTAAATTTAAAAGTACATTCCTATCACTGCACCAATTAATTTATTATTCGCAAGCACCATAGTTACGCATAGACTTCGATGTGAATTGATTCCCACACATAGAGCACTAAAACATCGGCCGCTTTTTAAACCCAACATGTTTCATCTCGTAGTGGACTTTATTATTTTAAGTGAATTATAAATGTCAATGTAAATAAATAAACTCTTGGAATTTAAGGCTGATTGCCAGTAGAAAACACGTCTTATTTTATTATTCTACAACAATAGGCTTTCTGGAATCCAAAGATCGTATTTTTGTAGTTTTTTTTCTGGAGGTTTGTTTTTGGAAAGGCGAAGCGACTGAACAAGAGGGATTTTATCCGGCAGAACTCGGTGATGTTCCTGAATGAATCGCTGACGTTTCCGTTGCTGCTCGAATTTCATTAGGAAATTCAAAGATCCAAATTTTATTCCTGACACTTTAAAGTTTACAACTCTAAACAGCTTTAGATATTTAATGACACTTTTGAAAATCGTGTTTATTATATATATATACATATATATATATATATATATATATATAGCAAATGCCTTTCTAGAAGTCTGTTGACTGCCGTACTCTTGAAGTGCGCTAGTTACTGATGAAAAACTCTCTGTAGTAGCTATGTACATTAAGTACTAGTTAAGAATTTTTATTCACAAACCCTCCAAACATATACACCAAAATGTAAATTCGAAACTCATTATGAAGAAGTCGGTTCACAATTCTTTGCATGAAATCAAAAATTTACTAAAGCCAGCTTTTCTTATTCTGCCTAAAAGAATTCCAGTCATTACTTTAACAAACTCTATTTCAATTTCCTATGAGAATCGTGTTCTCCTTAAGATCGCCGAGAAATAATATTCCTTCAGCAAATCGTTAACGTGAAAGGAGAAACTCGGGAGGTCTATCTTAGAAAAATTTTTTTAATCTGTTTTTTATTAAATTCTTTTTCTTCATTAAAAATATAGGGCGCGTGTGGCGCAGTGGTCGCAGGCGCCCTACAACACATACGTGGAATCGACCACTGCGCCCTAATCTCATCAAACTTTCCATCCCTCCGGGGTCGTCAAATTGGCATCACACTTTTCTGGGAGGATAGCATCACTGGATCGATCCCTTGCTGTAGTGCTAGAATCATTCTTTAGGGAATAAAAAAGTTTTTCATTTTCAGCTTTTCAATCTTTCAGTCTTTCAATCTTTTCCATTCCCTCATTGTTATAAGGAAAAATTTTTTTTAGGAATCTTTCTAGAAGATTGTTATTCCAGGTGACATGTTTCTCATTGTGTCCTCTGTGGACAACGCTGATTCGGTGACGCATATGCTCGACGTAAGTACGAAAGTTTTTTTGGAATAAATCTAAACTTCCACATTGTCATAACACAGAATCTGTACTGAAATCTTAGGAAAACAACTTAGGAAAACAAAACTTACAAAAACAAAACTTCCATAAAAAAAAAAACTTAAGAGAACAAATAGAGCCGAATAACACTTTCTGGGTTGATTGTTCGCTTAGCGCTACTCCATATATTTGTCTCGATTTGTGGCATCATACAGCTGAGTGAGTGTACAGATGATCAACACAGTAAACTTCGGGAACCTTTCGATGTGCAATGTCAAAGTTTTTATCCGACCCCTAAAATCTAGTACCAATTTGTCAACCTCGATATAATAGAGAGCTTGGTTAACCCTGGGTGTGGGATAGAAAAAAATCACTATGTGCTTCGCAGAGCGACTCTAACTAATGCTGTAGACAAACCGTTATTGAACATTAATCACATAAATATGTTTAGGGTTGAGAGTTTTTAGACAACGTCATAGTGTATTACGTAGTTTGTCTTCGTGCTTTGCTCAGAACTAAATCTTTTGTAAATTGACTTCGGATTTTGCATCGCATGCCTTTGTTTTATCCATCCATTATTATTCGAAAATAATCAGAATCTACTCTTTGTTTCTTAGCCGCAGCAGAATGGTGTCATCAGGAATGGCTACCGAAAAGGACATGTTAGGTTAAACTAAGACCTCATTAAGTGTTCTATTCTTGACCACATTTTCTATGTTTTCTACCATCTTCAGTCGCAGTTATTTTAGTAGCAAAAATGCTTTCTAAGTTTCATGTTGTGTTATGTGAGTGCGGACAGGGTAGTAGCTAGACGAGTCTTACAGTACAAACGTAGTCGTTGGCTTCATTGCATGCCTGGATAGCCCACCACCCTAAGACTCCAAATTCCATTGATTGCTAACTTGTTTTAGAAGGCAGAAACATTTAGCTGATACATCGGTAGGCTTCTATAAACGTGCAATGACTCACTTTTAAGATACCTAGCAAAATCGAAAGCGCATAGCAGCGTTTCTTAGTGATAGTTACATGGCTGGTAGCTTTCTTCTGTGTACTATCTTATGTATTTCACTAAGTTCATTCTCTAAAACCCTGAACGTGTTTTAAACTTTTTCAATTTGGACCAAATATCATGCAAGATATTATGGTAACAAATCCTCCTCTGATAATGGGGAATGATCTCGGTTTCATTTCATTTGATGTGGTGCAATGGGTTGCAAAAAATCGGGACTGCGCTAACACTTGTGATACGGTGCAAAACGACGAAATCAATGTAAGCGATGAGGAAAAATAGTTACTCCGCAGCTTCAAAGAGAAAAGCCTGAAGATGTTCTCGATTGTACCACGAAAACAACTGAGATTCCTTATAGATGATAGACGAATTTTTTTTATTCAGAATGAGTCTAACAAATATTTTGCCGACAATAACAATAAAAATAAAATGAAAATCTTCAGTAAAAAAAAAACAGCAGTTAATAACTCTGTTCCAGAAATCGAAGCACATATTGTATTACATACACTTCAGATTAGAAAACAAATCAATGAATGCAAAGCATCACGAGGAGTGGCCAGCAGTAGTGATACACCTTGTGTCTTCATCCTAAATAAAGTCGATCTTCCAGAAAATCGTTGGCAAGTAAGTTAAACGTTGAAACACGAGTCAACTCAACTATAATTATAATGGACGCTTTCGTCATTGTGACGTGTTCCCTTTCAGATTACCGAGAAAGAGGCCTGTGATTTAATCAACAATACTACCGGACCCAATGATGTACTTGTAGTTTGTTCAGCGGCAACAAATCTTAACATTGACAAGGTAATCACTGTCCTGCAAACGCTACTAATCAGCGATTTCCCACCATTCACCATTCCTTCGCTTTCTGATATAATCTCATTATTTTCAAGCTTTCTAAGTTGCTTAATTCCGATTTTTCTCCAACCTATTCCTACATTATTAAGCGTTCTCAGTCGATTACTTTTAGTAATATTTGTACTATGCTTTATTATTGACCGATTGCTGCTTGGCTATGCTCCGGTCAATTTCAAGCAAAAAGCGGATATCGTATTGTGAACCTTTTATTTGCTGCCTACAGCAGAAAAGTGGAATAGTAGCTGAGAGAAAGGCAGATCATGGGCCTTAATGATGTAGTGTGTAACACGCGTGCCCCCTGAAAGGGTAATCGTAGCTCGATCTCGCCTGGAGCCCGATTTCTGCAAATATCCCATCATCATTGTGGTTGTATTTCCCATCAAAAGCGGATGACACTTTTTTCTTTTTATTTATTCGTTTTTATTTTTACGCTGTTTTCTGTTTAGCACAATTGAATAATAATTACCGTCTTACAGGCTTTTGAGAAGCTATTTGCTCTGAACAAATGTCCAAAACACATGAATCCAGAAGTGCACAAGAAACTGCGCAATGAGCTTTCGGCCGATGAAGGGACAGGCCGTCGCCATATTTTGCGACGAATGAGGAGTCGTTTCTCAAGAGAACACGAAGATCTCACCACGTAAGATTCAATCCGATCCTTTACATCTGGCTTGTATTCCTCGTGGAGTTTTTTCGTTATTTATTCAACGAATTTTAAAAAATGTCGGTAAATAGAGGCTACCGAGGTTTATAGCAGAAACTTTGGCCATAATAACTAAAAAAATTGTGTGGTTATCTACAGCAGCATAGAACTATTGTAGGTCATTACCCTGTCAGAGAATGTTTGGATGTTCATCACTCAAAGGTTAGAAATCTATCAGATTTTTCTTTGTAGTCACAAACTTCGTTCAGTGTCACCTACTTTTCGCAATTTAACTTTAAACCCTTCATAGAATCTTGAGATAGTGGTTTTTACGAGCGCAGAGATCGTTTTCGTTGTCGCTCATAGATTATTACACATTACACGGTTGACCTGATTTCTTTCATGACACAATCACTGATAGCGCGATGTTCGCGCATTTTGAAGTCATTGGGTCAACGTCGACGATGATGTTGATGACCATGATGATGACGATGACGAATGCGGCCTTCAACGTAGCAAGATGATCGCATTGCTGAAGTTTTCGCACACGTTTGAAGCAGCTCATATAAGGAGAGAAAAAACGTTTGATTAACAATAAACATTTTAAGAGCTATACTTTGTGTCATCAAAAGATAAAGGATAAAGCTCTCGGTGTTGATCAATCCCTGGAGATGTGCCATGCATTCGACTTCATTAAGCATCGATGAAGGTGATTGGGTGCATAACTGGCCTTTACAGTGGCTGGCGATGGCCTACCGATGTATCGAGCCAGTGTTGCTATCCTCCCAAGCAGGTTTGGTGCCGATTTGCCGACCCCGAAAGGATCGAAGGCTTAGCAAGCAACAGGGTCGGAGATCGATTCGTGTGAGTTGCAAGGCGCCTCCGACCACTGCGTCACACGCGTCCCTATTTTGTGTTATATCAACCATAAACATGTCAAAGGAAACGCCGAATCAGGAGTATTATTGAACACTGTTTTAGAAAAGTTTTAATTTTTGTGATTTCGAAGCCGATTCAAGTGCCATTCATTCTGCAAGTGAAGATGAAGTGAAAATCATCGTCTCCAACAAATCAGTCTTCTATAAGTTTATTATTCTGTAAAATAACACTGCGAATAACCTTCATAAACCATTTAGATATACGGATATGAACGCTCGACGCCCAAGTCTTCGAACCGATTTACTTATAAATCGCTCAAAAACGTCTGCTATCTATCAAAATTTCATACATCAAAAGCAAACACAACGTTTACGACGAAACGACGACGCCGTTCGATGCACGATCGTGTAAACATCGTGCAAACAACCTTTTCTTTCCTTCGTTTTTAATTCGTGTACTGCTAAGTTCTGCTTCCAATAATTTGCAATAGCACAATGCCAGAATTTCCTATGTATAGTTGGAAGAAGCTCTTTTTTTACTACTGTCTAGCAGCACATAAGATGTCGAATTAGTGAGCGCTTTTGTTGGAATTTCGACAAGTCTTCAGCTAACAGACCACAAGCATCGTTTAGAGTCGAATTCACGAGTACGGTGTTACCGAAATTCACATAGAGTCTTTTCTTCTCCATATTTTTTCTAACTGGTAGGCTTTCTTTGACCTGAATAACGAATTTTCTCATTGATTTTTGTTGGCTTTCGTTGGATGTATTCATAGTTCGCTTTTTTAAACAAAGATTCATTATGAAAGCACTACATCTTCGACATTTTTCATTCACAACTAAAAAAAACCATTGGAATGTGATGTTACATGAAAGCTTGACCCGAGCTCCAGAAGTAAGTGTGAGATGGTGTGGAATGAGTGAACGAACCACTTCGATACACTCGCTCATTATTTGCCGGCACCAGAAAATGTCGGCGTATATTGGCAAGCTTCATAGTCAACCGGTGAGATCATGTTGAATGCTTTTGTCATCACGTTGATGTAATCTGAATGAGAGATGAAATGTGATATGAAATGATGCAATTAGGACTTTAAGCGATGTTATGAAGACTATCCTTTCGCTCACTAGTGGAGCAGCTAGAGAACTAACGTCCTTCTCTTTTTCGAAGTGGAGATAACTCTCTAACATGCAAGACTCCTAGAGTTTTGTGTTGTCGAATATTGGTCATCATATGACACTTACTGTTATCCTCAAGGAATTGCAGTACGCTCTTCATATGCTCCTTTCGGAATCGTTCCGGATCGCGTGCAATCACAAAAACAGGAAATCGGACCCAAGTAGAAATGATGGCATAATCATACTGATTGAACTCGTTTAGCGGCCCTTTTTTAATTACCCAAACTAAAAAATAGTCATTGGTAAGAAGATACATAGTCAGTTATGCTAGAAATCACACATGGTTCAGCATCGGGTGAGTTGCTGCTATGTAGCACAAATTGACCGGTTTCTCCAGACTTAAATCCATAGCCAAGCGCGAATCTGAAAGTTTGTTGAATTATTCTATGGAAAAAATATTTTTCCACTAACATCATTAACCTTGGAGATCCATTAGGATTTCCTTCTCTGTAGAACTTCAACGTTGTGAATGAGGCAGAATAAGTGTTGTTGGTGAGAGCGCCGACTAAACGTGTATTTTCTAGCAAATAGCCACCATTGCTATAACCTTTAAACAAACTAACAGTGTAGCACGGTACAAGCTTCGCGAATAACATGAGGTGAATTAATAACTTGGAACCATCTCCCCATCATTCTAGCCACATCCACGTTTTCGGCGGCAGGGTGGACAGCTCTAAATATACTTTTTGTATAGTTCAAAGTTTCAAGTACATCTAAGAAAAGAAGTACTGTACTCACCTAAACACGTCTTTAGCCAGATTTTTGGTTGATTCTTTAGGTAAAATTCGACTAATCGACGAGCCCAGAAGAGTATTGGCTGGTGGGATCATCTGCGGGAACAGTTGGCCTACCTGCACACGAAAAAAATCAATAATGTTTGATTTATATACAAAAACTAAATCTTCTACCAGATAATTGAAATTACTGAGACCAGGGATGGTATTCACTCCTGGGATTACTGGCACATCTTGAGGTCCAGGATATCCGGGAACAGGAATTGGAGCCAGACCTGGTATCTGACCAGAAGCTATTCCTTGTAAGTCGACGCGGTTGGCACTCGCCTCTGCGATTACCGCATTGAGGTCGTCCGTCTTAAGCCAATTAAAGAAATAAGATGATCTACAACGCAAATATCTAATTGACTTGCCTGATAAAGTGAGCTAGACAGTGGAGCCTTTCGTACACTTTTGTTATCTTTAATGCCGAATCCCAATCTGTTAAGGATTGACTCAGCTACTTCGCCTACCTTTACCAATTCTGGCTTTCCAGTAGATTTTGAGTCGGCCAGAGCCAGTGCATTCGACTGTAACGAAAATAGCTTATGCCGTTAGGTCGTTCCATAACTGGGAACCTTTTTTGACGTCATATCGTTTTACTCTAGCTAATAACAAGCATTATCTGGCACTTTTTCAATGTTAACTAAAATAGTTTATATAATGAAGTCAGAATTAAATTTTTTGTCTAGTCATCTAAGCGACGATTTTAGTGTCCCACTGGTAATTATCGTGTTAAAAAACAAAGCATCCATAAAGATTCATATGAAGCATTTTTTTGTGCATGAAAATCTTGTGGAATACTTCACGACTGATTTGCATACAACATTAAAGTCAGCCGGGAAGGCATTGTTGATGCTTAAAGTAGAGCTGAAGTTCAACGTTTTCTCAGCGCGTCATCATGATTGAACTTTTCTAAAAAATCCAATCTATAGGCATGTATTCAGGAGCATATGAATAGCAGAAAAAATACAGCGTCATACAGTCTGAACATAGTTGTCTAGTTTGAGGAAACAATAGATCTTCTAGAAAACTCCAAGCAACACAACTGACTAGTATTTGCACTCAGCTTCATTTCTATTCCCGTTCCAAATCAGATTATAAATTAACGATTGCAAAAATACTGTTGTGATCTAGCCTACTACCTTGGTGAGAGGTGCATCGTTGGTGAAACTCTGAAAAGATGGAGCGTCGTGTACTGGAACACTGAGAACAGCGACGATCATGGCATTGTAGACGAGCGTGACGATGAAGAAGCGATGCATGATAGCACTGCTGACACTGGCCGGACACCGATTGCAGCTGACCGGATTGGAGAGTGGAGCGAAGGGGTCGCAACAACGGACGAGGCCTAGATTTTGCCCCGTTTCATCGTCATCACCATTCACGCAACTCCAACCCATGCCCATTAATACGGTTGACCTGAAAACGTTCACGAATTTCCTCATATCAGCAATACATCAACATTTCTCGCATAGCGACACGATTATCGCTAAAAATTACTGCATTTACGAAAGAAAAAACGTTCCAGTGGTCATATTAGACATTCGTCTCAGGAGATATGTAGTTCCGACGAAAAGATATAAATAGGAAAAGAAAGATAACTGTACACGGCTTCGTGTCCTAGACTCACAACTTGGCTTTGTTCCAGAATTATGGTAATAAATCCAGGACAATGCCTGTCTTGATGGCCACATTCTAGTATTTCCGTTAAATAATTTTAAATGGTTTTATAATTAAGTATACTGTACTTCCACATTTTCGTCGCAACAACCATCTATCAGGTTCCGAAATCACCTTGGACGGTAACGTGAGCATGCATTGATTTACGGTGTAGTGAGTCCATTGTAACTCAAGCATAGTAACAATAAATGTAGAAAAAATTATACATAAGCATTTCTTATAAGAGCTACCTCGTATAGAACCTTTCTAATATCCCGAAGTTCAAGCGTCTCAGATAATCTCAACTGCAAGAGCATTTTATTCAATTTAACGCTCATAGTGAAGAAATTAGACTATGGAGAATTTCCTAAATCCAAAATTGTAGTACATCCTACGCACAGAAAAGAACTTTCCACATTCGATGAAAAAACGTTTCGTTTATGTGTTCTCTATAAACATACATGAGACAACGCTTATTCCGCAAAAGCTAAAGTATCGGCGGAGTTCGCCTTCTTCACAGAGAACTATTTTTTCTTCTGTTCTTTGACTTTATTCACGATATATGAACTCTGAGCGGCTGGTCTTCTTGTTAAATGTACGAGGAACAAAAGAAACTTTGAACACGGAGAAATCTACCCAAGAGTTAGCTATTGTAGTGCAAAATTACATTAACACATTAGATTCGTACCACTCATATCAAGTCACCAAAACACATACACTTGTGTGTCATTGCAATTTGAACAGAAAGTAAATGTTTACAAATATAAACTATTATATAACTAACTAGGTCTTGATGACCGAAAGCGCTGGAAAACTCTGGAAATGATGATCTATATTGCAGTGAGCTATTCATTAGCTTGTAATATTTATCTAAACTACGATACCTGCATTTGAAGTGTTTGTATTCACTAATCCACCTGTTCTAGTATTTTTTCTGTTTCTTAACTTAACAGTGCTATCCAACCAATTTACAAGCCTGCAAAATAAAGCTTTATTTAAGTTTTGATGGTTTTATACCATTTTGCAAAAGTCAGTTTTAAACTCGGAAATGATGTTCCTAAGTGTTAGAATGTGAAAAGGACACACGTTTTACATAAAGCGCTGATAAAAAATCTCCCGCTACTCAACTTCAAACATCCATTGCCACTCATTCTCAGTCTTACTAATTGAAATGTAAATCAGTAGAATCTACAGATCTATCCCATTAAGATACATGTGTGCTCACCCTACTGTGATAAAACTCCAATTATTTGGTGCTTAAAAATCGCTTTCCTCATTTTTTTCCCTTCTTTGTTAAATCTCATAAGTTTTTCTGAATAGGGAAGCTATTGTGCAGACAAGATTTCTGTCCAGTATCATAACATAGCATTCCTGAATGCGGTGCTGATATCGTGTCATTAAAAACTTTGTTTTTTTAACTGAGTGCGAACCTTTCAAAAACACTGGTATGGGACACAGTGGTTTGGAGACTGCATTAATTTCGCATAATGGTAAAAAAATTGTTATCGAAACGGCATCTTCGAGAGGGTATGGATTTGGTGTTGAATTTAGGGTAGGTGCGAAGATGAGGCAGATGCGAAAATCTTAAAACTCGAACAAAGTAATCCCTTCCTTAAAAACAAAGGGACAGTCCAAGAAAAACCTTCAATACGACGATGAATAAACTGGGTTAATGCAAAAACACTGTGCTATTTGCTTCATCATCTATTTTATCAAAATATGAACGAAAATTTGCTCAAAAAAATACAAGGAAAAATATTTTTACTTATTCACTGATTTATTAATCTAATAAAATGGATTCAAATCACATACTCTATGCGCCTCAACACTTTCCTAAGTCTGTTCGCTATCTCGCATTCGTCGTCCAAGTAGGCTTTCCGGATTTACTTGTCGGAGCTTGACTATCACTTGAGCACTTTGCCCTCTTCATGAATGTTCGTTGAATGGTGGTCAAATTCGTTGTCAATGGAGTCCTGGGATAACTAAACATGAGAGTTGCCAAGTGCTCAACAGTGTTGAACTTCTGCAATCGTAAGTCTCTACCAATTCTGGTGCCAGCGGCAATACTTGCATTACTGTAAAGGATCCTTTAACGAATATGCTACCTGCACTAAAAGTGACAAACTTACTGTTACACTAACAGAGCACCTTTGGAAATAAATAGGCCAGAGAAATAGTGAAGAAAATTGTATAAATAATAATCTCTCGAGTGGTGAGCAAGGGTTTCAGCCGCAAAGAAAGCCATTCAAATTAAAAGTGATTATTGCGTTTTTTGCCAACCAGAAAAAATATTATGCTTCTCGCAGAGTTAATGCTGGTTGTGCACTGTATGCATCATAGTATTGGAGAGTATGATACTTGTGCTTCACTTTTGTAATAAAAAAGAGTGGTCGTATTATTAAAACAGTGTTGAGATATTTGCAAAACTCCGAATCACAGCTGCCTGCGATGAGGATCAGACACGATCATTACCAATGCTGTGAAAAATTGCAGTAGGCACTAAATAAAAAGTTAACGCAGTGATTTCGATTACAGCCTCAGCTTAAATGGGTCCAATGCCGATATGTGCTTCACAGATCAATCCCGTTGACGGGTGATTGCTGTTGGAACTGGTAGATAGAAAACCAGTTGAGGGAAAGGCTAACCAAGGGAACCGCATGATGTGGTAGTGAGCGCGTTGCTCCTGCAAAAGGGTGTTCGATCTCCACCGCAGACACCTGTGATCCAGAGTATCGCCAATATCTCAGCACCATTGTGGTTGCATTCCACATAATACCATGCCCAAAAAAATTCTAGTGAGCAGTAAGTAAAAAATTTAACACTAGTCGTATTCTATCCGAGTGAAAGTCTTAGCTTAGCTCAGAGCACGCTAAACTTAGAAGTTATAATTTGCAAAACTCAAAGCAAAGCAGTAGGATATTTGTTCCTATTCTAAAATGCACTATCGAGTACCATTGTCAACAGAGATAACTAGAATGGAAATATATAAAAAGGTGCGATACGTGGCTCAAACACAACCTATGAACGGTTTTATTGTTTACCTGAAGACAAACGCTAACTTTGGCAAAACCACTCTCCGTCATCGGTGCACAGCCAGTACGGAAGCGCGCCTTTCGAGCCAACACCAAAATTCCCTTATAACTAACATTAGCACAAAATCAACCGAATACAGTAAAATTTTTAGCTCTGCATTTGATGCCTGAACGAAAATATTTGCTAAACCCAGCACTAATAAATTTAGTTACTCGAAATAATATCATATTTCAGCGGTTCTTGAGTGTGTGAAAAATTTTGCAGTTTAGTCATGAGCTCAGATGACACATCCTGGATGATGTGTAAGAAGGATTGATAGGCGCACAAATATGGATTCAAGAAAACGGCCCTTTGTATCAGCTGCATTACATTCATTTGTACCATTCATATCCATGGAAATCATGCATAGCCAGTGGTGCCACAGGTTGTATAGAGTCCACTTACTGTCAAAAATGTTATAATTATTCTTGTAAATAGAACTTCTTACATATTACAATGCACAACTCCGTATTGTACTGAAGGGAAATAAAAGGTTTAAAAAACGTACACACAGACACACTATGTACAACATAATGCACGCAACCTCGGCCGAAGAACACAGTATCGAAATTCTTGGCGTACAATAAAGACTCAGTATCAGTAAGTAAATACTAAGCATAAACAAGACACGCTTGATGCTATGGAATGTCTAAGGCAAATGATGCAATAGTGTTTAGTGAAAAAATTATGAACAGAGAAGACAAAACTTGAAATTTCTTGTTAAGTTATATAAGATTTTCAACAAAGAATAATTATTGGACGATTATCCCTGGATGTTGAACAACGATGGTGGGAAGGTGCACAATGAATTCTCCACTGGTGCGACGATGTTCAGCAGACGTGAAATGCCATTCACGAGTCCTTTCTTCTCCAGAATCATGTTCACTTCACTCTCGTATCGCTAAAATCGTCTGTTACAGTACTATGTTGTTGCTTGTTATTACTACGGAGTCGCTTACTACATTATTATGAAAGTAGCGGCACTTTACTAATCATTTTAAAATATTTTTAAATATTTTTCATCGTAGCAAACCGCTGATTTTTTTATTCCCTTCCACAGTGCCAATCTACGAAGAACTCACTAAATTATGAACGAAAAATCTTTTAAAATATTTAGAAATTTGTGCTTCTGCCATTTAAAGAGTAACTAATTAAAATGGATATAGAAGGAAATGCATCAGGAAATAATACTTATGTGATGAGACATCAAGGCAACCGTGATCGGATTCAAATAAAAGCTTGTTTCCAAAGCGGCGCTGAAATAATGTTATAGTTCACTATGTTAATTTTCCGAATTCCTCGGACAATAGGAGTCCTTGACATACACTTACGATTGAACCAAATGTCGTAAAGTTTCCTCAATTTCCTATAGATTTGTGTAGGTTAGCGAAATTAATAAATCTTCCGTTTAAAGCACTACATTGAATTTGAAGGTTTTCGTAGATTAAATGATGTTTAAACTGCATGACTTATAAGGAATTAATGGTTGAATTTATTGGCCTAATCAGATTTATAAGCTTTGTTAATATACTTCTCGCTTAAAACGATGATTAGCCTGCATTCTAGTACGGTAGAATGAAAACAAGTCCAGTACTCAATAATTAACACATAAATTTGAGTTTTTTTTATTTAGTGCCTGCTGTTATTTTTCACGGCAAACTATGATGTAAAATACAACCACTATGATGCTGAAACATCTACAAAACCTGGACCCCCGGCCAGATTCGCACCCGCTACCACTCTTCCCGGGTGCTCACGTGTCACGCACTGTAGCACTGAGGATCTTGGTTTACCTTCCTCCTTGCCAGTTTTCCGTCTAGTAGTGTCGTAGGGACCCCGGGTCGGTTCCGATCTGGCCTGGGGTCCTAGTTTCGCAAATATCTCAGAATCATAATTCAGAGATAGTTATTTGACAACACCGAAAACTTACGTCAAATTGTAGATAATAATTAAAACTCATCACGATTTACTTTAGTTGGTGAATTAGAGAAATTACTAGATTATTTACAGTGAAACAGAATCTCCGAGTGGTTACAATATACCACAAGCATTTAAAGATAGTAGCAGACATAACGGTAATGATAGGGGTCTACTGATCACTAAGATTGGTCAAATTCTTCAGAATTACATTCACAACATTGCCCATTCCACGCTTACGTGCCACCAGTTTTAGATAAAAAGTAAATAAACGGTGAAAAATGTATGCAAAAGAAGATTTCTGCGAAAGCTGATTTCAGCCTTCTATTTCCATGAAAGTTTAGCAACGATAACACACACCTGCTTATATGTTTCTGGATCACGAGCGAATACATACAATGGAAAGTTGCAGTTTGTGGACATTACCACGTACTCGTACTCATTATTAGTGTTCAGTGGTCCCAAACGTAAAACATGCACTGAAACACGTTTTATGATGTCGTAGTTAAATCAGATGCGGTTGAACGAATACATATACGTTGGACAGACAGAACGGATTGATCGACCAGTTCAGTGGTCACTCATACGCGTCGTCGTATTCCGCAATGTATTTGACGCACATCAAGGACCGGATTAGTTTTGAGTGAGTGATGTGAGCAGAGGAAAGTCAATATTGCTACAGTTCAAGAAGTAAATATGAAGGTCACGCAGGATCATGAATTCAATTTTGCCCTTTATATTATGTATGTTTTGAATATGAGTCAATGCATGAGCTAAAAACAGCAAATTAGTTCAAGTATGGAACTCATTCTCTTGACTATATATCTGCTTAAAACGATTAAAATAAGGCTTGCAGGTTGAAATCTCGTATTTCAATCTTAGATATTTACACATATAGGCCTTACTAGCTAGCTCTATCCTCTAATTACTGATTTATTAGATCTTACCATTCACATCTTCTTGGTTGGAGGTTGTGCGGTAAATCAGCTCGCCAGGTGATTTGATAAGTGCGTAACCAGAGCTGATTTTTGGTTTTCCATAAGGAGTTCCATCAGTTGTGTACTCGAAAATCTCGAAAATCGAGCCTGGTCCTAAACGTAATCACTATGGTAAAATGTAGAACCCCCGCCATTGTAATATTCTGGAGAAAATCGTCAAACCTCCATTATTGACGTCATTGAGCTTCTTATACGCCACCATACTACATTGCCCAGAAGAAAGAGGAGGGCTGTATACGACCTAGAAGAAAAACAAATAGCTTTTATCAAAGGATTATTTCTAAAAAACAAAGTCTGATATGGGAAAAAGAAGTCAAAACGCCGATCATATGATTAAGACCGAACAATGCAAAACAACGAATAGCCTTGGCCCAGTCGAGAGCGACTCCGACGAGGTGAAGTTAGGGGTCGGGTACACTATGGAAGCGGACTATTGATCACAGTCAGAACAGTCTTTAAAATATTACTAAATTTGGTACCGTTAAGAATGCTTACCTGGTACCACTGACCCATAAAGGAATGGAAGTCGAAGGCGACTGGTTCAGGTTTCTGAGTGCAAAGTGGAGATGACGGCTGAATAATGAAGTTCTGAACCATCTCCAAATTCTCGGTGATCGCAGCTGATTGAGCTGGTGTCAAAACAATGGTTCCATTGTTGATTTGTAGTTCAGGAAGACGTGGAACTGTGTCATTTGTCTGTAACAGCCGTACTAATAAGTATAGTTTTTCTTCGGTTAAACCAGACGTCAAAACATTTCGTACCTGCACGCTGCCTGAGGTAAGAGCCTTGTAAAGAACGTTGGAAATCATGTTTTTACCAGGAAGCGGGCTGTTTTCTCCACCAATTAGGTTTGACACAGCCTTACCCAAGGCGTTTTTGTCCTGAGGAAAAGGCTACGCTGTCACATTTATTTTTTCGTCACGGTGCATAAAAACCTCACTCCTGCGTTTGAATTTCCGCTGGCCTTGGCCTCCAATGCTTTTCGTTGTCCCATACCAATCAGTTCAAAAATTGTTCCAATGAGTCCTCCTGACGAAGTGGATGTGTCCTCGGAAAGCCCTCCAAACTGGATTAGCCGATTTTACACTATATCCTATTATTGATGTGGTTTGTACTTAAATTTTATCCTCAGAACATTTTGAACATTTATAGAATTTACTAGAGGACTAAACGGGATTAGTTTTCAATTCTTTTGGTTCAGGAACACCCATCAATATGAATATTGGAATATAGATTCGAAACGTAGTGGTGCAACATCGTAGTGTGAAATATTTCTTTTTCGATCACAGAAATCACACTTACAAGTGACACTGTTTCTAATATTTTTTAAAACTTACTTCTTCCTCATTTATTCCATCTGGGTCATCGTCAATAGATGACGCTACGCTAGAGACAGATTGTGGAGAACGTCGGATATCAGCAGGTAGGAAGCCTCCTTCGGGCACCTGGATTGAAAATCTTCGTCAAAATGAAGTGGTGAGAGTGCAAACGATATAAATTTCACTTCAGGAGCAGACTGAAATTGAGGAATCGCTGGAGCACTGTTAATGAAGATTCTTTCACGGCTTGAATAAGAATGAGGTTGAGATATTGGCGCCTTGGGAAGCTTTGGAAACACCTGAAAACTAACTTTTCAACTTGTTCGATTTGTCGATGTAAATGCCTCACTGCAGTGATTACCTTGGGTATGCCACCAATTGAACTTTTAGGCGCTTCCCCAGATCCCTCCATGATTTCATCACTGCTGTTTTTCTACAAAAAAGGAGTGCTCCGATTTATACGGTATGGAAAAACTCGGTTTGAAGGTCTGTAAAAATTTGTGCAACCAGGAATTTGTCCTGTAGTAAGACTAGAAATGCAATCAATTAAATAAAACTGCTGCACGATAACCCAAGAGCAGGTTATTAAAATGTTTCGCTTTCAATAATATAAAATTGTTATTTTGTGAAAATTCATAAAATGGTAAGCTTTTCAAGACGTGCGTCATCTTTGGGACTTTTCCTTCAATCGTATGTATGAGCAATCAAACAAACGAAAGAGGTTTAAAAAAAGCCACCAATTTTTCGAGCTAGCAGGTAAAGAGAGCTTCTTTGTAACAGTTTTCGTAGAATTGCAACAAAGGTTTTGGAAGTGAGTACTAACATACTCACTTTCTCGTCAAATAATCTTTCAAAATATACAAACCTTTGGAGCTCTACGAGTGTTGGCACCGGAGCCGCTTGATGGTACTGGTTTGTTATTATTCAGTAGGGAGAATCCAGATCCAAAGCCAGGAGGCAGCGCCTGACCGCTTGTGGGTTCAGGAGCAGTAAAAAATTGTTCTAGAGTTCGTTCTAGTGTAGATGGCACATGTATGGGCTTGTTATTGCTTGTAGGCTCTAAAGGAGTACCGATTTCATATGTCTTTTCAGGGAACAAACCCCCTGGGCGCGGTCCCAGAAGTGAGTCAACGAGATCGCGTGCATGCCCGTCTAGCTCAAAGAAGGATGAATACTCTGGTGGTACTGTGGGTTTGGGGGCAAAGCGTGGCGCATGAGGAAGGGCGAACGCATCGTGCTGTGTAGCACCAGGTCGGAGGACAGCAGTAACAACAGCGGTAACCAACACACCCAGCCGCTGCATATCCACGACTGATGCAGTGGGACAGACACACTTCGAGGAAGGGATGAATATACGACGTGGTCTGAGTGCGTAGATGAATGTCCTTTATGACACGATTTATTGCGAGATACAGAGACACACAAACAGCGATATTATGTGGTTAATGCGGGACGAGATGCAGTAGAGCGCAGCGACGGCGACGGCGATGGTTGTGGTGTCGAACGACTGTGGGCGTCGGTGATCGGACAACCCACCAACTAGCGCAATAGCCGAGGTCAGTGTGCAGTGGTGAATAGTGAAGAGTGAAGATTTTAACGCCCTTGACTGGTACCGACAAGCCGCTCGAGAGTTTTCTTTGGATCGCGCAACATGTCTGCCAACGGCATACCGGTCATGGCTGGCTCGATGGTGCCGTTCCTGCTGCGCTCGGCCAGCTCTTGGTTCTTCAACACACTAAATGGTTAACATTGATGAGTTGATATACACGACATTAAAATACAATTGGACTCTTTCTGAATAAGCTGAGGCGACGATATCGAAATCAGCACGTTATACTTCTGCTCTCAGATTAAGCTTCATTTTCTCAAACGTCGGAATAACTTAGTTAAACTGCTAAAGAAATGTACTCTAATTTTTGAAAGCATTTCTTCCATTATCTAATCCTACTTCATTGCTGATTACAGAAGCGCCCTCATTGTCTACTAGCGCCTTTTACCAAAATTAAGGAGAGTGTATTGCAGCTTGCGAACTGAAAATGAAATCTTCAAATATTTAGTCTATCAGTGCTAGAAATATCTTATTCGTTTAAATAGCTACTCGAAAAAAAAGCTTCACCTCTAATACTTTGCAGAAAAAATCTTGTATGCAGCAAGGTGACATTTAGTTTGTAAATAACATTTATGGATTTGCTTATAGGGCTTTCAATCCAGACATGAAATTATCACATCATATTAATAACTGACCGTCGAGCGAATACTTCTTTCTCTGAAGGCCATTCGCAGTCTGGTCCTTGATAAATAGGGCGAGGACTGTTCCAGAACACTCGGCCACCAAATCCCTTTTGCTCCATAAATTCCAGAACATCCTTATTGTATTTCTATAACATGTCAGAATTTTTCTAGGCATTTTATTGCGTATAAACATGCATTAAAGCCGCTCTCCCACGCTGTCACTGATATATTTTATAAATCCTCTCTGACGAATTATTTCAGTAACACAAACTTTATTTTCCGAACTCCAAACTAAGCATCGAATAAACACAGAAATTAGAGGACTTCACTTAACGTTGATTTTTACGGTCTGACCTAATTTTTTCAGCGTGTGCTGATTTCCCAGCTCGTTATCGGACGCGTGCAATGTTGCGTAAGGCGGCACCATCGAGTTCTAAGAGTGTTAGATGATCCAGGAACGTATTTGGCCACGGTTTTGTATAGTCGTCGATAGAAGTTCGATTTTGTATACAAGATGAGATACGTATCCATGATGATGCATTTGAAGTCGATCAAGCGAAACGATTGCACACGACTGCATTTGTAGGAGATCCTCTTCGGACGACATTAACCGAGCTTTCGGCAGTTCAGAAGCGCTTTCTTCCGAGGAAGAAGTACTAGTATAGAATTTTTCAAATAACTAACAGCAGTGGACAAGCTGGCTTTGTTTATTAGCAAAAGAAATGCTATGATTTCTGGATTTACACGCAACGCATTGAGATGATCAGAGGAAAAAAATCTTTGAACTTGTCTTTCACAAAAGATCACTGCTATAGAGGGTCTAGCTCTCGCATATGATCAATGTGTCTGCCAGAGTAATGGTTTTTGACGAATTTTTCTTATCTTCATACCTGGAAGAAAACATGAGGGTCACGAGCATAAACCATAAGAGATAGACGATTTGCGTCAGTGACAACGATGTATTGAATTGGTTCGTCAGCCTTAGCCGTTTCATTGTCAAATGAAGGACCAGCAGCGACGATGTAAACTAAAATCGATTGTTCGACCAACTTTTATTCACTTTAACAACTACTTAGTCACTAAATTCTTACACTGCCTGGGATAGAAGTACTCTTCAGTGTACATCCAGAACTGTCCAGGTCCAACTTTATTCATATCACGTTTATACGTTTCAATTGGCCCAGTTTTCGAGACCGTTTTATATGCTTCTTGCATTGAGAAGCCATCCTCACCCATAACAGGATTCGGTGAAACTGAACACACACTTCTATTGAAATGTTCATGACCTACCTTTCTCAAAAGCATGGAAAAGTCTCGAGCAACTTGAACTCACAATAAGCAACCGGACAAAACATTTGCGTACGAAACACGTCAAAATTGATGGCTGCTTTGTACATCTGAAGTTTCTAATCGCTGTGAGAAATTTCAATAGGAAAACTTCACAGAAACTCTTAGCAGCCATGAACGACTCAGATGGAATCGGAATATGTCTGGTAAATCTTATATATTTACATATACCTGAAACCATCGCCCCATTATCAACTCTGACGGAATATTTATAGTGTCAACACTGGTTTCTAGCATTCGTCCAATACCTCCAATAATACCAGTGATCGTATTGAGGTCCATCTAAAGCAGGAAACCGATTTCATTGCACAGACTATTCAAAAGACTTTAACTATCTATTGAGAGAGTCACGTTAAAAGTTTTGCGAAAATATCACATTTGCTTAGCCTTATTTCTTTCTTTAGAATCAGCTGAAAAAAGATTATGAGGGTTGGGTTTGAGGAACTCTGCTATCATACCTCATTTGTAAACATGAAACAACAGGAAAAGTGTTATAAATGCATCCACAATTTGTGTGTTTTAAATAGATGTAAGCGAATGAAAACATAAAAAATACGCAGTCAGATGAGAAAGGTTCTAGGAAGCGTAGTTGGAAAAAGTAGCTAAATGTTCAGCGGACGCAATCTATTCGGAATAAAGTTTATTACGGCATGGCTTAGTTGAGATTTTGACATTTTTGATAATATTGCACGAGCGAAATTTTCGTTGACACTTTAACAAAGTAGTATCGCTGCATCTAACTTCGTTGACATTTTCTTAACTGTTGTATTAATTATGGTAGGTTAAAACTTTGTATTAGTTGACCTCATTGAACGTTCACTGGGAAATAGAGCTATGTCTATCCAAGCAGGATCATATCATCGCGATTTGAATTCGCCCATTTCCGCGTTATCATCATTGAAATCTACGATAACGAACCGACACATCTCACTTACTGTATTTTCGCCAATTGCATGGATCAATGGTCCAACGAGAAGACCGAGGAGAATGAGGGTGTTCAGGAGCATGACAAGGCGACCGACTGCCGACTGTGTGACCTTCGCGGGTGTCGACCACTGACGGTGCTATACCACCCAAGCACCACCATTGAGTACCCGATCGTCTAACAACCGGTTGACATGGGTCAAGGTAGATCTTTGCCATTTTTCGTTACCTAATCACTTTGATGACTTCATTTCTGAAGTTGGATTAATAGAACTCAGACTGATGTCATAATCGCAGACTGCGTAGTGCTTTTCATTTCAGTTGTTCATTCACAATAACGAATTCATTGTTTATTCAATAAATTGAGAGAATCAAGTATTAGCGTTTAAATGTACGGCGTTTATCTGTGGATTGTTTTAGAGATCGTCATTGAGAAATGGAACGATCAGTGCAATGTCGTCTACTTTCCGAACACTTCGAATGTGCTGTCAGCATATTGACAACTCGAGTATCCTGACGGTTGCAAAAGATTGAAGGCTCGAATGAAGCCGTTGATGAAACCTTGGTCCTCCAACCAACGCAGAACCTAAAACAATATTATTAAAAGAGAGTTTTCATGGCTGATATAGTCATAGTAAACATTGAGTATTCCTCGATTAACCTATTGCCACTTTTATAATTCATGTACCGTTGATCGTCTTCCACAACGTTTTCAACCCTACAATTTTCTTCGTGTATAAAAACGAAAACAGAGACATAAACTACGCCCCTACTAGTTACTACACATTTCACTAATTGGCTTTTTCATTAGAATAATGTTTCCATTTTTCGTCTAAGCCGAGTTTTGTGCAACTTTATTGCTTTTTTTATCACCACCCAAGTCAATATCTTCTGTGCATCTCTGATGACCACTAAACTTTTGCGAAACCAGTTGGGAAATGCAGCACCACGCTAACCAGTTCTTTGGGCTGTTTTATGACCAGTTACACCGTTTGCCTGTTAAACATTTCTAATCTGATCCAGCAAATTACCAAAGACAAACCTCAGTTTGATACTTAGTTTTGAAAGTATCCGGATCTCGAACCAGCACCGTTACTGGATAGCGTACCCAGTTAGAAACGATAGCGTACTCATATTGTGGATTACCGAACGGATCTTTGCCGTCGGGGCCGAGCTTGTATACCCAAACTAAAATAACGCTGTACTACTTTTCTATCACAGGTTAAATATCAATGTAAACCAGACTCACACGGCTGAGCATCACTACTTTCACTAGTATGCAATTGCAGCATTGCATCTTTGTTTCCACCACGGAACGCATACCCGATGGAGTACCTGAACTGCAAGATTATTATAGAAGGTAGCTCTAAACATTTTTTTCAAAATAAATACCTCACTGGTCCGAACTCTGATCCTTCTCTATAGATCTTCAGGGCAGTGAACGTAGCTGTCTTTTCATTCTTAGTTAATCCACCATCTGAAATAATTTATTTGCTGCAAAAAATACAATGTGAAAAATGTTACAAAGGTTATCTATTGTTTTCAAATAAATAAAAAATTTAGATTTTAATATATGGTCAGATTTCGGAACTGGAATCGCTTAGCATATGTGGGCATAAGTACTTCCTTGTTAAGAAGGCGTTTAAAACTTTCCACATCAAATTTATAAATAATGTTAGTTCAGTTCCTATCGAAACAATGAAACGCTTGTTATTTATATTATTTATGATATTCATCAAAGTAGCAAAATACTTAATTTAATAGAATGAAACAATTTAAAGATAAAAAGTGAAATCTTTATTATTTATATTATATTGTATGGTTAGAAGCGCCACTGCGACACACTCGTGGAATCGATCCTCGCGCCCATGGCCCACCAAACCTTTATCCCTGCGGAGTCAGCAAATTGGTACCAGACTTATCTGAGAAGATAGCACCACTGGGTCGATACATCGGTAGGCCACCGGAAGTCATTGTTAGGGCCAGATATTTATTTACACATCTCCAACAATAGTTAATGAAGTCTAATGCATGATGCATCCCTCAGGGATTGATTATCGCCGAGAGCTTCATCCTTCATCCTTTTATATAGTTATCATCAGTTCGTGTCGGTTCGCGACGAAAAGACGGTACAAATTAAAAAAAGATTTACCATTATTGCAAAATTTTAGCTATAAAAGAAGTCTTACAGTGATGTACAACGCATCGTTGCTCAGTAGCACGAGGTGAGTTAATTCCTTCGAACCATCTGCCCATGAACTTGCTGAGATCGAAATCACTGGGAGTATCAGGCAATAGAGCATCAGTAACGTTATCAGCAAGAGTTTGTAATTGCTCAGGAGGTAGCATATCGGCCAAAGTTGTTCCATTAGAAAGACGACGAGTTATTGATCCTGAAAACACCAAACTGAGCTTGTTAGTTTATTTAATAAGGGTTAGTTTCCACGATATAGTCGTATTGTGTTCGTTGTTTGTCGACCGATCGTATAGTTCGTCCAAGTCTTAAGACAGCGATTTGAGAAATGACCTCAATATTCCGCACCACCACTAGCACATTCTCTTGTCATATAGAACAGTCACATGGTATTCTCGTAACTGCATTAAAAAGAAGTTTATGCGTGGTGCACAATTCATTTTGATAAGCATTTCAAGCATTGAATTTTTCCCTAAGCTTCCTTTTGGTTTGCAAATGACAGGTTTAAAAACCATTTTCTAAAAGATCTAAAAAACTGACCAATTAAATTAACCACATCAATTTGACCTTGTGCATTTCGTGGAATTCCTCCAGGTAAAAGGGGAATTCCTGGAATTCTTGGTAGACCAGCGTGAGTAGGACTGTTCCCACCGCCTAGAAAATGAGGTGGGCAATAATTACGAATTACTAGGTAAAAATTTGTAGATCTCTTAAAAACTTGAGATGATCTCTTTGCTTACCAAGCAACAATAAAAGTATAGCAGTTTTTTCAAAAAGCTTTCTGTGTTTCCCAGTTTTGGTCAAAATGTGAATTTTAATAAACTAGCCTCCTCCAAGAAAGGACGAGATTCCGGATAGCGCGCGCTGAGCAGTCGAAGGTTGACGACGAATGTCCGCACCGTGAACGTGATTTGTGATGGCATTCTCGTCTACCGAATGTGAGACGGCAGGAGCGTCTATAGAAGAAGACGATGAGACTCCACTGTGATGTGGTCCCCCCGACGAATGTGGATTGCCTAACAAAGATGGCAGCGATTGAGAGAGAGCGTCTGACACTCCGGCTGCAAATGACCTTTTAATTTTAGGTAGAAACAATCAACGACAATAGGAGATACCAGATTTTCCAGTTCAAATCTCGATCCAAACCCACTTTCTTTGACAAGCTTTCGGATTGAGTTCGAAAGTAATCCAATTAGCCCATTTTCACCAGGTTTGTCGGCGGGAAGTGGAACTTGACCTCCATTACCTTCATAAGGACCAGAGTTGCGAGCTTCATTCACAAGCTGTGTGAGCTGATCTTGAAATTTCGGATTTGCCTGAGCAAGCACATCTGAATGAAAAGACGATTAACATATGCTCTGCTTAATAAACATAGCTGATGACTTTTTTACTAGCGGATATGGAAATAATTGCATGGACTCCGCTATTTGCATTTTACTCGTGACATGGAAGTACAGAGTACTCAAAACAGAATAAATAAAAATTGTCTTCGAACTGAAGACGCTACCTCCTTGAGTCGGCGCAGCATGCGCCACAGCGTTTCCACTAAGATGCTCTGGTAGAAGACCTTGCACGGGAATTCCTGCAGCGCGGAGTTCCTTAAGATAAGAAAAAATGAATTGCATAACATGAAACAAAATAATATTAATAAAAAGAATTCCGTCACCTGCACGGCTCCTGCAAAGCCGTTAGGATGATTTCCAGTAAGACCTGGAATTCCAAACGAGTCGAGACCAAAGAATTTTATGAGCTGATTTTGAACATCGGGAGGAATAGTGACTGGTGGTGGAGGTGGGACACTGGCACCAGTTCGGGGAACGAACTGTTGACTGCCTGGTGGTGCCGTGTGTTGAAACACCGGTTGCTGAGCAGCAGGAGGTGATGGGAACGATTGCTAAGTATAATATAAATAATAGACATAAATTAAGCTTTTGTGGCCTTACTTGAAGAAAATGAATATTTTGATGGTCAACCTGTTGAACGGCAGATGGCATGCCAGCGTTTGTTCCAGTCACTGCAGAAGGAGCCACAGGTGGTTGAACAGCGCGCGGGGCGGAAACCTTTAATAATTCAAAATTTACTTGTGAATAAGAGGGATCACCTTAAATTTAAGCTTATCTTTGTGCTAAGTTATCAGACTTTTCTTCTTTGCGAAAGTCAGGTTTTCTTGCAGAAAATAATTGTTTAAATGAGTCTTTTACATGTGCATAGTTACTCACTGGTCAAAATAATTTTAGCAATTATAGACGAATTTTTGTTGATTTCATTAAGGAGGATTCCTTCAGCGATTCTGTTCGCAATTCTTGAAAATTTGACCATACACCGTTTTCTAGCTTAGTTTGAGGAGATGATTTCTGACCTCGGAAAGAAACCTGGGTTTTGTGGACATAGGTTGCAATCGGATGACAACCGGTCGTGTTGGGTCATCATCTGTAAGGACTTCAGTTACCAGCAAGCCAACGAAGCCAGCGACAAAGATTAGAGAAGGCATCTGGAGGCGACGCTAGTGCAGGCGATGAAGCTTGAATGGTGCTGTCTGTCTGTAGCAGTTGGGAATCTCCGAAATAATGAGGGTGGGATCGAGAAGGGGTGAACAAGGCACGGGTTACGGGGAAAGGGGCGGGTCAAGGCCCCGTCGGCCGTACCCTCCCCGCAAACCACCGTTCTCTGACCTACTTCGTTCGTCCTTTCCCAAATACCTATTTTGCTGACCATGATATTCAGGTCAGACAGCGATGCAGCGAACGTTCGCTTATATCGACATGTAATCTCATTTTCACTGGAACTAACAATATCTATCCCTTGAAAGTCGTCCATTTATAACCATTTAACAAACATACGTAGGTTCGCAACTAGTTGCTATCAGAATGGGTACAAAACTCCTTGAAATTTAGTAATGTCTAGAAAGGCGTGTAACGAATGACTAAAATACTTCCACAAAAGAATTTCAAAAGCATTTTGTCTATAGTAAATAGGAGCACTTCAATCCCACAGTCCACTGAACTTAACTGCGATAGTTGTAATATGCTTGAAACAAAATCGTTCTCACAGTGCTTGCGTGAACTAAGATACATTAAGAAAATGAAAAGTGATAAATTAAAGTTTTCAAAAAAAGTTGGATTTTGCTTCCACCGAAGACGATTTGACTTATATATGTACCAATTAAAGCCAAAAATAACTTGCTTATTTGAATTTGAATCAATGCATAGGCAAATATATAAATGTAAATATAAATATACACATACGTGCATAAAGGATAAAGGATGGAGCTATTGGCGTTGATCAATTCCTAGCAGATGCCCCATTCGTTCGACTTCATTAAGCATCGTTTCGAGGTGACTGCATGCATATCAGGCCTTTACAACGACTCGCGGTGGCCTACCGATGTATCAAGCCAGTGCTTCTTCTATCTTACCAGACAAGTCTGGCACGGGTTTGGCCACCCCGGGGAGATGGAAGGCTTTATGGGTCATGGGCCCGGGGATCGATTCCAAGTTTGAGTTGCAGGGCGCCTCCGACCACTGCGCCACACGCGCCGAACATATATGTATATATATATACATATATATATATGTATTTATACACGTATATATGTATATATATATATACTCACAGAAACTCATGTTCATACATGAGATCACATATATATATATATATATATATATATATATATATATATCAGTACTATTCCTTAAAAACAATGACGTTATTTTAGGTCAGCTCTAACCTTCTAAATAGGAAATGTCTGATTTTTTTGAAAGCCAACGGCAGACTCTTTTCCACATCAGGAAGAATGCTTTAATTGTTTGCACTATGATCCATATTGAGGACGCGTGTGGCGCGCAGTGGTCGGAGGCGCCCTGCAAACACTCACGTGGAATCGATCCACGCGCCCATGGCCCACCAAACCTTCCATCCTTCCGGGGTCAGCAAATTGCTACCAAACTTATCTGGAAGGATAGCAGTACACCAGATACATCGGTAAGCCACCGCGAGCCATTGTAAAGGCCCGATATGCATTCGATCACCTCCAACGGTGTTTAATGAAGTCGAATTCATGGCGCATCCCTCAAAGATTCATCAACGTCGAGGGCTTCATCCTTTATCCTTTATGGTCCATATTGAAAAATAGATCGTAAAATTTTCTGTTACCTCTAACATTCGCAATGTCTTGTTAATGAGAGATTAGCCAGTGGCACACCCCATGTGGAGAATTAAAAAGGCTCAAATAAGCCCTGTTCTTGTCTACCGGCGCAAACTGATTCAGCAAGGTCTTCTGCTTTATCAAATTTACACACACCTTCTATTGTCCCATGCATATTAACGTATGCGTACTTCGGTGTGCAGTTCTGCAAGAATAATTGCAGTTTCTCCAAGGTCATCATTAGCGACTTGAACACGGAGATTGACCCATAAAGACTGGACACCAACCCATTCGAACATGAAAATTTCTACAGTGTAACGACAAATAATTTTAGACAGAAAAGTGAAGCAGTGCTATATAAGGTTGAAAAGGTTGATAAGAGTATTCGAGAAATGCGCCGGTACCTCAACCATTTTACGAAAAAAATATCTTCCTCTTCCAGCGATGAGATGGAATAAGTGTACCTGTCTCTGCTGCAGTGGATGTATTCTTTTGATGGTTTTCTCTTCCAAAGCTCACCACGTTATTTCGTCGGTGAACATCCAAACACCACCGATCTGGAAAGGATCAGTGATAAATATCTGAGCAACTCAGCACCCGCTCCTACAAAAACACTTGCTCAACTTTTAAAAAATGTCCTACGGAAAAACAGCTCAATCCGTAAAAATTCAGCAGCATCGCGTTGTTGCAGAAAAAAGACACCGAATATTCATAATGTGATGTGCCATCGCCTAATTTGCTTCCTGTCTCTCGTCTACAAGCCTTCCACTTAGCTGATAGGAATTACCTTCGAAAAGTCTTACGACACATCAAATTCACACGATTGCAAAACCTAGTGCAGACTGTGAAGCATACAAGGTGCTACATTCTCTTTCTTATTTACTTTTTTAAGTTTATCGAATGACTCGTATTGAAACGACCATGGAAGCTCTGCACAACCACATCGCCACTACTTGCGTGATACCTACAGACTCTGCTCCCGGTCTGAAGGAAATTGCTTTCTGCTGTCATCTAAGCTTGTATATGTATATATCGATTTTTTGTTTTATATGCTCCGTCTTCACGTCTATTGTGCGGATCCCAACACTTTTCACATTCGAATCGTTTCCTCGTATCCACTGTCCACGAAAATCTTCCAACTTTTATGTGTGACTTCGGCTGCTGCTTAAGGATTTCCATTTCATCTTGAATTTAGCAGAATGCTGGTCCAGCAATTCTCCATAAAGTCCTGAGATAGCCGGGCTGGAGCGTTCCCAATTGGCTTGCACAGAGTGATCTCTTCCTAGACAAGTCAGGTACCAATTCCTCGCCCCGGGAGGGATGTGAGGCTTGGTTGACCCAGAATGGAATCGCACTAGCACCATGCCCGTGATAAAGGACACCACAGCCACAGCGCTATCTGCTTTTGTGCATATATATTACATAGAGAAAAACTTTTTCTATTAGTTTAGGCGATTCTGCGCAGTACTTTCATCTGGTAGATTCGGATTCAACTTTTTGCACCACCTGTGGAGTGCGCCATAGCAACTGGCTCATTTTTTATTTGGCACCTGGCACCAAAGATCCTCATTTGTTTAGCCTCCTGGTACTACTTTTAGACCTGCAACTGTAAACTGACATCTGCAGGAACACTATCTGGGAAACAGCACGCTCAGAGCGCTAACGTTTATTTTCAGAAGGTAAGAGATCGCCATTGCCCTTTAGACGTCATTCTGTTCGCCTGCTTGTTCCTCCACACTCAACATTCTCTTGCTTTGAATAAGCTAGAATAATGTTAACTGAACCTTACACTCCTGCAACGCCTATAAATTAAACTTATTCGTTAAACCACCTGTAGCTGCCGAACATTGTTATTTTTGCAACTATGAGAACCAATATTCTTTAACCTTGGCAATGACTAAAAAACCTTTTTTGATGAGCAAACACGAGATTGTTATTGTAGTATGTGTTCGTTCACCACGGTTAAGATTTCTGCGATTTCGCCTTCTTCAGAGCTTGAAGGGTGAAATTGACATGTAAGCCATTTAGCCAAGTACTTTCATAACCTTAACAGGTAAAAATAGACACATAAATTTTCGTTCTCGTAGCAGAGAGTGTTATCTAAACCATGGGCGAGAAATGTGCCTGGCTCTGGATCACAAGACTCTTCTACTCGCTGTTCATTTTTAGATTTTGGGAATTTATCCAAAGCACTTCAAGAGTTTTACGCCCCAGTTTTGGATTTGTTTGCGAAGATAGTGACATCTACTTCAAAGACTTCCTTGTTATCACGTTTCACCAAAGTATTCCTCCCTAAATGTTTTACAAGATTTTGGGTGCACCGCACTCGAACTCATGCAATTATCGTCGCTAACGACAAGGCACGTGTAGCGCAATGGTCGGGAGTGCCCTGCAGCACACATGGGATCGATTCCAGCGTCCCACGCCCTCCATCCTTTTGGGAACGGCAAATTGGTTCCAGACTTGCCTGGTTTTAATGCATTGGTAGGCAATCGCAAGTTATTGTAAAGGCCAGATATGCTTTCAATCACCTCCAATCGATGCTTAATCAAGTCGATTGCATGGTGCATTCTTCAGGGAGAGGTCAGCGCAGGAGGTCTATCTTTTTTTAAGCCTTTAACAGTAGAGCATATTATGCAATTGTGAGTTTCGCATAGATTTTCGTACAAACGGTCTGATGTCTGAAAGTGTTCGGTGGTAACTATTTTTCTAGATCGGCCCTTCTTAATCAACATCTTTTTTTTGTATCCGCTCATATTCCGTCTGAGGTTAAGGAGGGGATAAACGGGACTTTATACTCGCTAGACTTATGTTCTACCCGCGTAATTTTTTCTCTAAACTTACCCATAGGAGCTTTTACTGTTTCGATGCCTTTAGAAATAGCTATTTTTAACGAGAAGTCCCTATTCCTCTAACCGTTCTCTTCCTCTGCATTTACCCGTATATGTTTGAAACATCTTTCTTACAAACGTCCCTTTCGTTTGTGAGAGGTGAGAAAGGAGGCAATGAAATTGCTACTTAGGTTTCGGTACCAGTTCGTGATAAAGGTACTTTTCAATAGGTTAACTTGAACATTCATATAGAAGATAAAAGGCAGTTTTCTTTCGGTTTATCTTGGGTGAATTTTATTACACTGACTGTTCATTCAACAACTCAAAACAACTCTCCATCGTCTCTTACTTGGTATTTGATACTTGAACGGCCCGTCCTCACTAGTTGTGCGGTCCCCAGCGTAATCACCATTTTTCGGAAATTTGCTGCCCAAGCCATTGTGGTTCCCTGGAATCCCGAGGTGAGCCTGGCCAAAGTCTGCCCCAGGTCTTCACCACCATAAGCAGTCGTAGCCC